CCTCTAATCCAGTGATTCCTAAAGTTGGTTGCAGGTTGGAAACACCTAGGGAATTGTTAAAATGGCTTTTGCCTAGATCTTACTGTATTCGTCCATTTTCACACTGCTGTAAATATACTACCTCAGATTGGGTAATTTATAAACAAAAGAGGTTTAATTGACTCACAGTTCTGCATGGCTAGGGAGGCCTCAGGAAACTCACAATCATGGCGGAAGGTGAAAGGGAAGCAGACACCTTCTAGGCATCAGGAGAAGAATGATCAAGTAGGGGTAATTTCCACTTTTAAACCATCAGATATCATGAGAACTCTCTCACTATCACAAGAACAGCATAGGAGAAACCGCCCCCATGATCCAATCACCTCCCACCAGGTTCCTCCCTTGACACGTGGGGATTACAATTCTAGATGAGATTCAGGTGGGGACACAGAGACAAAATCTTACTCCCAAATCTTCTGATTTAATTGATAAAGGGCAGTAAGGCCAGATGGATGAGCAAGAATATAAAAACTTCTGCAGGTTCAAACAATTGGTCAAACTCATAGTCCTCAATGTTTGACTACATACAAGAATCACTTGGTGATTTTTCACACCTGCCAATGCCTAGCCTCACCTCCAGATTCTGATTTATTTGGCCTGTGGGACCTAGGCCTTGATAAGCTTTAAACTCTCCAGGTGGTTCTGATGTGCAGTCAGAGTGGAGAACCACTCTTCTATTCCCTACCACACAAGTTCTATCTAGTTGATCATCCTGACCTCCTACTCCACCCAAACTGGCCACTCATCAAATGAAAGAACCTTGGACCTCATTACAAAGTACAACTCTACCTTCATTATATCATTGTTTTGCCAACTTCCTGCTTTTTCTCTAGGACCATAATCCTTTCATCTTGTCAACCACTGATCCCTATCCCGTGACCTTATTTTTTGATTTATCAAATGCTTCTTTTCAGATTGCAACCCCACTCCTTTCTATCACCTACTGGCTCTTCATCCATCACTCTCCAAAGTAGTTTGAATGCCTTTTCCCACTACTTCAAACTTCTGGATTAGCCTGACCAAATTTCTCCTGTGATTCCAACCAACTACTATTAAAGAGAATCTAAAGGAGACATCAAACTGAAAAAAAATCTCATATGGCCAACAAACAACCAGATTCTGGCCATAATATAGCAAAAGAATTAAAAGCTCATGCACGTGCACTAGAATGATTTATAAAACCGTGACATTTTCTTCCATGCAAGCTTGGCTGTAATTTTGGCCATGTACTTTAAGAAAAATAAGGATCAACCCTGAAAAAGAGCCAATATGAGAATTGTATATTATCAGGGGAATGAAGAAGTTACCAAAAGAAGATGAAAGTGGAAGTTAGAAATTTATTATAGAAAAATGAAGGCTGAGGGTGAATCATTTATAAATGAGAACTAAAATTATATTACCTAAACTATGGAATACAAGGGTAAAAGAAGAATGTTCTAGGAAAAATGAAAAGCAATATCACACAGTAATTATTTTTAAAACCCTAAAGTGCTTGTACAAGGTAAAAAATAAATAGGTTTGTGGAATGCTTAGGTAAAGTTTTTTTTTTTCCTTTTTTTTTGAGATGAAGTCTCACTCTGTCACCCATGCTGGTGTGCAGTGGTATGATCTTGGCTCACTGCAGCCTCCGCCCCCAAGGTTCAAGTGATTCTCCTGTCTCAGACTCCCAAGTAGCTGGGACTACAGGTGCGCGCCACCACGCCCAGCTAATTTTTGTATTTTTAGTGGAGATGGGGTTTCACCATGTTGGCCAGGGTGATCTCTATCTCCTGACCTCCTGATCTGCTTACCTCAACCTCCCAGTGCTGGGATTACAGATTCGAGCCACCATGCCCAGCCAAATTTGATTATTGATTGAGGCATAATGGAGTTTGCAGAACGTAAGAAGGAAAATACCAACATTTAGGGAGACCTTTTAGGAGTTTTTAAAGCATTTTCATAGGCATGTTCTTCTTGAAGTTTTATCAAAAACCAAAAGTTAGTGGTGTTCAGAATAGTTTGAGGCCAGTGTTGTGAAGGCATCCATCATCTGCTCCCACAACAGTGCCTCTGAGATGCTGTCTGATATGTAATACTGTGCCAGCCAGACCTTTACTCTAGTGGTATTTCTAGTCTAATGACCAGAGGTGAATTTACCACGAAGCTAATGAAGCTTTAAGTTTTAACCTCCTTTCTTGCAGGAGATTCTTTCCAAACCCTGAGGAACCTGGCAATGGTTCCCACAGTCACATGTTTTTGTGAAGTAGCAAACATAAATTCTTGTAATTTTTAAATTTTACTTTTGTACATACTCGATATTGATAATTGTGTATTATTTTTCTTAAAGATGGAATATATACCCACTTCTTATGATCCATTATTACTAAGTCATAGTGTCCTGCTAACCACTGAAAGACCATTAATATCCCCTCCTCCTTCTCCAACAATACTCAGCCTTTGCATTTTACCCATTCCTTGCTCTCTCCTCAGCCATCTCCTCATTTCTGATGATAGCCTCCTCACAGAGAATGTCTTTCCAGAGAAGGCACAGAGCATTAGATAAAGCTTTCCAATTATTCTTTTACTCTCTAAGTGGTCTTTTCCTGTGCCATTTCCGGTCCTTTTCCTCCATCTTAGAGGAGTTGAAGAACTGGACTTCTACATTGGAACTCCAACCTCCTCCCTGTAGGATCAGCTCTCCCTTCTCAGTCCAGTCGCCCGCCCTCTCCCGTCTTTTGCTACAGAGGCCGGAGTGGGGCCTTTACTGCTGCCTTTGGGTACACTCCGCATTTTCAGCTCTTATGGTCTCATTTAGCAATTTCTCTCTTCTAATTTTCCATGTCTATAACCAAAAGGAAAAATACAGCAAAAACTGAAAATGTCTTTCATCCTGAGCAGTTTTGGCACAAATGTCCCAGAAGGAAGGGAGGGAACATTTGTGGCAGCTGATCCTGGGCCAAGCTTGGGAGCATCTAGTGCTTCCCCCGCTGTAGGAGATGTTGCCAAAATAGACAGTGGGAAATGCAGAAAAGAAGAAAAACAACAGCGTGATAGTTCCCCATCCCGCCACTAAGTGTGGTTTAGGTACACCTGGTTCTAAAGTCAGCCTGAGCCAGACAGAAAGGGCAGTCTGGGGGTGTGCATCCCTGAGGAGGGTTCCTTTACACACACGTGCACACCATAGAACCGGGTCAGAAGCACTGCTCAGCACTGATTCCAAAGTTCAGTCATGAAGATTCGACTGCATTCATGCCACACTACCCACCCAATACAGGAAAGGGAACATTTTTATTTAACGAAGATTTCATAACACAGCTTAAGCACAAGGAGCTGTAGCACTTAGAAGTTTGTCTGGAAGACGTATTATGTAGACTATCTCAGAATATTTTTGTTATCATGGTTTATTCTGGATTAACTGACAGTTAATACTAACTAGTGATTCTGAAAAATGTTTAAAATATGTTATAATGCTATGATCTCTTAATTTTCTTCCCAGTAAAAACTTCTGTTTAAATCAGATTAAATAAAGATTTTAATAAAAATATATTTAAATAAGAGTCTAGGGCGAGATTAGCATTGTGATTGAACAGAAACACAGTTTGCCAAGAAAAACAAAACAAAACAAAACCAAAAGAAAACAGTTGAAGGGATTTGAACTTTACCCTAGATTTCAGTCTATGAATTTGCAGTAATTTAATGTGGCATATTTTGTTCAACCTAGAAAAATCCACAATGTTTATGAAGTCCAAGAGAGTGAACTTTTTGTTGCTAAATATTCTTAGTACAATAAACATTAATGCTGTGCTAAAGTTATATGTTTTCACTTATTCAAGAACCAACTGCTCATTTCCTGAGTACAAGAGATTTAGTAATTAAAATAAATCATAAGCAAATGCATAACCCTAGATATTTTTTTCACATGCCATTTGATAGCTCTCCAGTACTAATTTGAGTACTGTTGTGCTGGGGATTTAAAAAGAGCATACAGATAATAACCAAATAAAATCCCTGAAAGTTTTAACATTCTTAACATAGAATCATTTTTGTTAAATGTATGTATCTCGATTTTTGCTTACACATCATTATCAACCTGGGCACTTAACTTTCAATATTATAAGGTGCACATTTACTTAAAATGCTGAATCACAATGATATGAGATAGTCATGCAATCTCTTGCTTAGAATTACCTAACAAAGAAAGCTCAATGACCAATATGGAATTTAGTCCATTACTAACTTTGGCTATTTTTCACTCTGTTCTTTACCTGAGTTCTACAAGGTTACTTTGCCTCTAACATGAGAAAACAATTGGCCACGCAAAAATACAGGTCATATTTCCTATTATATTAGACTAAGGCGTACAGCATAGCATATGCATGTCTGTAAAAGACAGCCATGATATATAAGCTAAAAACGATAACCAACATGACCACACTTTCCTAAAAGGATTGGACTAGTTCCTTAGAGTTTATGACAACGGAAATGAATTCACATTCATCAGTTGTCAATGCCACTTAAGGCATATGCACACTGAAAGGGCACTGTGGCCCAAACATCATGGAACATGCAGCACAAAAAGTTGGGCAGACCCACGTCCTTTATAGCGATAGCCACAGCAATCATCTTTCTAATCTCAGAGAAATACACCAGCACACTGGTACTCAGGTTGGTAAATATTTGTTACAAAGGGTTGAAAACAGGTTGATATATTTTTGTGTCTCCTTTTTGCCACTGTACCTTGCTGACCTTGCTGATCTTTTACTTTTCTTACTTCAGTGCTTGGCATATAGTTGGGTTTTCTGTATGGTAAACACAGTAAGAAGAAAAGTGAATAATTTGAGATATATTGTAACTAGGTTTAATTCTTACAAATAAGAATTTTTAAGGATGTTTGAATTGGGAGAATTGTCCAAAGGGGAATTGTAAAAGATGGCCTATTTTTAGTGCATCAAAAAGGTGTCATTAATTAATTGATTCATTAATTCATTCAACAAATATTTATTGAGTGTCTTTTGTATAGAAGGCATTGCGTTATGCTCCTATGACTCAGTGATCAAGGGGACTGCTATGATTTGAATGTTTCTTCCAAAATTCATCTTGAAATTTAATTGCCCTTGTGATGGTATTAAGAGGTAGGACCTTTACAAGGTGATTAGATCATGAAGGCTCTGTCCTCATGAATGGATGGATTAATGCCATTATCATGAGAGTGTATTAGTTATTGAGGGATTGGGTTACTATAAAATAAGGAAGTTTGGCTCCCATCCTCTCCATCTCACAAGCTTGCTTGCTCTTCTGCCTTCCACCATTGGATGATAGAATATGAAGGCCCTTGCTGGATGCTGGCTCCATGCTCTTAGTCTTCCCAGCCTGCATAAATAATAAATTTAAAAATTTCTGTTTTAAGTTACCAGTCTCAGATATTCTGTTATAGTAGCAGAAAATTGTTTTTAAGTCAAGGACAAATACGGACACTAATCTCACTGAATTTGCATTCTAGTGGGGACAATAGTTTAAAAAGAAAAAAAAGCACATAAATAATGATACGATTATAACTGTGATCAGTGCTAAGATGGAAAACAGTGTTGGAGAAATAAAAAGGTGAGCACCCCGTCATGCAGGACCTCATAAGCCACATCAAGAATTTCTTTTGTATCCTAAGAGAAATGGAAAACACTTTAGCATTTAAATCAGAGGATATATATATTTATTTCATATGTTTTTGAGACAGAGTCTCACTCTCACACAGGCTGGAGTGCAGTGGTGTGATTTCAGCTCACTGCAACTTCTGCCTCCCAGGTTCAAGTGATTCTCTTGCCTCAGCCTTCTGAGTAGCTGAAATTACATGTGCCCATCACCATGCCTGGCTAATTTTTCATCTTTAAAGATTAGTGGTCTATAAGTAGAAAAAAAATGAAGGAGATGAGCAAAGCAAGATGATGGCAGCAGTGTGGGTAAAAGTAAAGGTCCAGTTGGGAGGCTATTGGTATAGTTCATGCAAGAGATGGTGGCAGCTGAGCCAGAAGCACAACAGTGTATATATGAAGACATATAGTTGCAAGGTTTGTCTACAAGGTAATGCCTTGACAGATGTTTTAAAGGAGACAAGAGTCAAGGGTACCATTAGCATTTCTGTTATGAGCAATTGGGAGAATGGGGGATGGGGAAATTGAGACTTTATAAATAAAGAGTAGATTTGAAGGATTAAAAAAAATGAGTTCAAATCCAGACTTGTTAAAATTGAGATATATGAAAGGTATCCAAGAGCAAGTAACATACTTAGTAACACTTACTAAGTAAATGTATGTATGTCTTTGGAGCTCAGAAAGGTCTGTGTTTAATATTGGTGTATATTATGTATATATCAATCTCCAAGTCACTGGTTAACTTAACACTTTTTATAAGCTGCAGGAGTAGAGGAGACATCATAGGAAAATAATGTGGGATTAGCAAGAAACAAGAGTCCAAGACTGATCTTTGAGGAACTCCAATTTCTGAGTGGAGAAGGTGGCACTCCCAAAGTAGAATGAGAAGGGTTGGCCAGAGGGGGTAGCAGGAACACTAGATTGTGTGTCATAGTAAGTTGTGTGTTACAGAAGCCATGGAAAGAAAGACTATCAAATGGGGAGAATGAGCATTCAGGGAAAACCAAGTGTGGAGAGCATTGGGAATATATATTGGATTTTGTAATGTGGATACCATTGAGATCTTAGCCAGAACACTTGGAGTAGTGTGGTGAATTGGGGAAGACAGCTCTGAAAGGGAAGTGAAGGCATTAGGAAAATGTGCACAGATAACTCTTTCTAGAAGTCTGATCATGGGTAAGATCTTGAGGTTCTATCCTGGGTTATGTAGCCTGCATTTCTCCATTTGTAAAATGAGGATGTGAATATAACCATACTTGGAAAATAACTTAAGAAAAACAAGGGTAAAGCCCTGTGCTTGGCATCATTATGATCAATTAAGTTCAAATAAGATTTATTGTGCATGTGCTAGATTCCAGGATAAAAAGATAACTAGGACGAGGTACATTCTTGCCAAGAGCTTATGATTTAATGAGGGAGACAGACTAAAATATGTGCATTTAAGAAAACATAGTACATTTGAAGATGCATTTGATAAGCTTTCTAGAGAAAAAGACACGTGAACTAAGTTATGAAAGAACAAACAGGAATTATCCAGGTGGTGAGAAGAAGCAAAGATACACCACAGAGGGAAATTACAAACACAGGTAAAGGTCCAGAGACATACACACAATTAAAATTCTTTGTATACCCTGCCCACATACAGGGAATCTACAACACATCAGCCACTGGAATATACAGTTGCAGTATGAGAGTTAAGTCTGGAGAGGCAAGCTCATGGATAATTTGTGTGTCATGTTAGGAGGATTTGACTTTATACTCAAGTAACTGGGTTCAAATCCAAGATCAACAACCTGTTAGTGCTGTCATTTTGGATGAGTTACTTAAATTTACTGTGCTTCAACTTCCTCAATGTGAGTGTTTATTTTCAATTTATTTCAATAAAAACTTAAATAACCTTCATCCTAACAAAGATGTCAACTCTCAATTAAGGTTAAAAATTATTATTAGAGGAGGAAGTAGCCTTAGACAATCTCATTCAATCTATTCATTGTGCATATAAGGAAATTGAGTTCTAGGGAGATTGATTAAAGGCTAAAGCAATGAAAAAGTGAAAAAGCAGGCAGAAGACCAGTTGTCCAGCGTCAAAGGGCCAGTAGAAATGCAATTTTCTGACATTGAGCCACAAACTGAAGATTAAAAATTAAGATACAGACGGCAGGCAGAGTGCAATGGCTCATATCTGTAATTCCAACTCTCTGGGAGGCTGAGGCTGGAGAATTGCTTCACCCCAGGAGTTCAAGACCAGCCTGGGTAACATAGTGAGATCCTGTCTCTACAGAAAATATTAGCCAGGAGTGGTGGTGTGCATCTGTAGTCCCAGCTACTTGGGAAGCAGAGGTGGCAGGATTGCTTGAGCCTGGGAATTCAAGGCTGCAATGAGCTGTGATTATACCACTGTACCCCAGCCTGGGTGACAGAGTGAGAATCTGTCTCAAAAAAAAAAAA